GGGTCTGGATTCAAACCACAGATGGCTAGGTAGGACCCAGTTCCCTTAACCACTAGACCACAGAGCTGGCCCTCGACAAATATTAAGAGTCTATTATATGCCAGACTCTACAGAACAGACTGACAGGTAAAAACCACATGGAATGGGAATCAACAAGCTTCAAGACCACACCTGTCATATAAATGTATTACAGCTGACGTACCTTGGAGAAATTCTTGCACAGAGGCACTAGAACATGTTAAAGGAATGTCTACAGAAGTATCATTAATTACAGAATATAAATCAAAAATTGGAAACAGCCCAAATGACATCAACAGAATAGGTAATTAAGTTGTGGCATATTCATGCCATAGAAATGAATTATAGTACCACACATCAACACAGATGAATCCAAAACTAATAATGAACCAAAGAAGTCAGTCATATACAGTGTAATTCCATTTATATAAAGATTATAAATGAGCAGTGGTAAAAAAATGGTATCACTGAGGGATACAAATAGAGATGGTCAAAGTAGATGGCAATTCCCACAAAATTCAAAATAGCGGTTGCTTCTAGCCATGAGGAAGAGGGTGCGAGTGGGAGAGTACATAGGGAACCCTGGGTGTGGTGATGCTCCATTTCTCAGACTGAGCAAGGGGCATCGGACATTTATTACTGTTCTTCCAACTGCACATACACATTTTCATTTACACATTACAGTTCGTACTGAAAAGAAAAATTAGGGACCAGCAGTTGGCGTAGTGGCCAACTGGATTCCCATGTAGTTGATCACAGTTTGAGTCCCAGACCTGGTGGCTTAAACTCACGCCGGGTGCATGTGCGTGCGTGCCCAAGATCCTCAGAGGAGAATGGAGGAGAAGGGACTGCGTTGTGGCCGTCCCCCCAGGGGGTGATTTCTCACTTTCTGTCTCTGTCTGTCTCTGTCTGTCTCTTTCTTTCTCACGAGTGCACATGCCCTATAGCAAAAACCTCTCCAAAAAAAAGAAAAAAGGCCAGTCCTATAGCCTAGTGGTTAAGGCAGTCTGAGCGCCTGCCTCTGCACCTTAGAAAACACGCTGGGTATGTGTATGTCCTGACAAGATGGAGAAATGGAAGTCATTGTGGCATGACCCCACCCCACTGGGGATACTTTCTCCTTCTTCTCTCTCTCTGACGAGCACACACACCCTCTGGCAATAATAAAAAAAAGAAAACGGGCCCAAAAAAGGCATTAAGTGTGACTCAGGATTTAAGCAAGTGTGTTTAGGAGTACTATGGTCTTTTTCACACAGTACAAAGAAATAAGATGAATACAGTTTGTGAAGCAGAAATGATGGGTGTAAGTTTGGATAGACAATCCCTTTAACCATTTTATTCTTAGTCACTTTAGATGTGAAATTGCCCTATGATCGCCAGTTGCTTTTATGCTAGACTTGAGGCAAAAAAGGGAGTTGAATTCACCAATTCATGCCCAGCACTGAAAATCTCCACGGTAAATAATTACTAACAGGTATGTATTGGGCTGCTTTTCAGTGCCCTCATTTCAGAGGGTCTGTCATTATCTTGTTGATTTGGATTTTTAATTTTTCTGCCTTTCACATTCTGATGATCTACTTCTGTGCTAGGTGTAGAATCTTAAGCCTGGACATGATAATGGAAAACCGGAGAACAGACAAAGTTTGCACGAGGCAAATCCAGTGGGTTGGAATGAGAGTTTGGTGTGCATCCTAGCCAAATTCGAAAAGCAGTAAAGAGGGGCCGGTTTGTGAACCCAATGTTAGCAATTCATTTATCTCATGTCTATGCAGAAGTTATCTACATTGCTTTTTTTTTCTCTTAAAGAGTTATTTCATTTGACCTTATTTATTTAATTTGACCAGAGAGGGACACAGTGAGTGAGAAAGAGAGAGAGAAAGAAAGTCATCAGGTCCGGGACTTGAACCATGGTCGGCCATGTGGGTGTCCAGAGCCCTTAGCCACCACACCACCTGCTGATCCCTCTACATTGCTTTTTTTTTCTCTTAAAGAGTTATTTCATTTGACCTTATTTATTTAATTTGACCAGAGAGGGACACAGTGAGTGAGAAAGAGAGAGAGAAAGAAAGTCATCAGGTCCGGGACTTGAACCATGGTCGGCCATGTGGGTGTCCAGAGCCCTTAGCCACCACACCACCTGCTGATCCCTCTACATTGCTTTTTTTTTCTCTTAAAGAGTTATTTCATTTGACCTTATTTATTTAATTTGACCAGAGAGGGACACAGTGAGTGAGAAAGAGAGAGAGAAAGAAAGTCATCAGGTCCGGGACTTGAACCATGGTCGGCCATGTGGGTGTCCAGAGCCCTTAGCCACCACACCACCTGCTGATCCCTCTACATTGCTTTTTTTTTCTCTTAAAGAGTTATTTCATTTGACCTTATTTATTTAATTTGACCAGAGAGGGACACAGTGAGTGAGAAAGAGAGAGAGAAAGAAAGTCATCAGGTCCGGGACTTGAACCATGGTCGGCCATGTGGGTGTCCAGAGCCCTTAGCCACCACACCACCTGCTGATCCCTCTACATTGCTTTTTTTTTCTCTTAAAGAGTTATTTCATTTGACCTTATTTATTTAATTTGACCAGAGAGGGACACAGTGAGTGAGAAAGAGAGAGAGAAAGAAAGTCATCAGGTCCGGGACTTGAACCATGGTCGGCCATGTGGGTGTCCAGAGCCCTTAGCCACCACACCACCTGCTGATCCCTCTACATTGCTTTTTTTTTCTCTTAAAGAGTTATTTCATTTGACCTTATTTATTTAATTTGACCAGAGAGGGACACAGTGAGTGAGAAAGAGAGAGAGAAAGAAAGTCATCAGGTCCGGGACTTGAACCATGGTCGGCCATGTGGGTGTCCAGAGCCCTTAGCCACCACACCACCTGCTGATCCCTCTACATTGCTTTTTTTTTCTCTTAAAGAGTTATTTCATTTGACCTTATTTATTTAATTTGACCAGAGAGGGACACAGTGAGTGAGAAAGAGAGAGAGAAAGAAAGTCATCAGGTCCGGGACTTGAACCATGGTCGGCCATGTGGGTGTCCAGAGCCCTTAGCCACCACACCACCTGCTGATCCCTCTACATTGCTTTTTTTTTCTCTTAAAGAGTTATTTCATTTGACCTTATTTATTTAATTTGACCAGAGAGGGACACAGTGAGTGAGAAAGAGAGAGAGAAAGAAAGTCATCAGGTCCGGGACTTGAACCATGGTCGGCCATGTGGGTGTCCAGAGCCCTTAGCCACCACACCACCTGCTGATCCCTCTACATTGCTTTTTTTTTCTCTTAAAGAGTTATTTCATTTGACCTTATTTATTTAATTTGACCAGAGAGGGACACAGTGAGTGAGAAAGAGAGAGAGAAAGAAAGTCATCAGGTCCGGGACTTGAACCATGGTCGGCCATGTGGGTGTCCAGAGCCCTTAGCCACCACACCACCTGCTGATCCCTCTACATTGCTTTTTTTTTCTCTTAAAGAGTTATTTCATTTGACCTTATTTATTTAATTTGACCAGAGAGGGACACAGTGAGTGAGAAAGAGAGAGAGAAAGAAAGTCATCAGGTCCGGGACTTGAACCATGGTCGGCCATGTGGGTGTCCAGAGCCCTTAGCCACCACACCACCTGCTGATCCCTCTACATTGCTTTTTTTTTCTCTTAAAGAGTTATTTCATTTGACCTTATTTATTTAATTTGACCAGAGAGGGACACAGTGAGTGAGAAAGAGAGAGAGAAAGAAAGTCATCAGGTCCGGGACTTGAACCATGGTCGGCCATGTGGGTGTCCAGAGCCCTTAGCCACCACACCACCTGCTGATCCCTCTACATTGCTTTTTTTTTCTCTTAAAGAGTTATTTCATTTGACCTTATTTATTTAATTTGACCAGAGAGGGACACAGTGAGTGAGAAAGAGAGAGAGAAAGAAAGTCATCAGGTCCGGGACTTGAACCATGGTCGGCCATGTGGGTGTCCAGAGCCCTTAGCCACCACACCACCTGCTGATCCCTCTACATTGCTTTTTTTTTCTCTTAAAGAGTTATTTCATTTGACCTTATTTATTTAATTTGACCAGAGAGGGACACAGTGAGTGAGAAAGAGAGAGAGAAAGAAAGTCATCAGGTCCGGGACTTGAACCATGGTCGGCCATGTGGGTGTCCAGAGCCCTTAGCCACCACACCACCTGCTGATCCCTCTACATTGCTTTTTAAAATATCTTTAAGGAATAGGTAGCCTCTGAAATATAAAGGACACGAAACCGATACTAATGTAGGATGATCTCTCATAATAAACACTGTTTAAAGACAGAAAGCAGGGGCCAGCAGGTGGAGAGTAACCATGAAGGGTTGGGAGTAGGAAGAATAGGAGACGCTGATTAGAACAATTCCCCACTGTCACCCAATCTGGGTCTTCCCAAATGGTGAAACATTTATGAAACTAATACATGCAGATGCTTCACAAAAATCATAATTCTCCCATAAATCCTCCTTGCTATGAAATACTTTATTCCCACTTTACAAATGGGGCACATAAAAACAAAACAAAACAAAACAAATGGGGCACATAAGCAGATAAAGCACTTTGAACGAACATGGGACAACTAAAAGTAGCTAAGTTAGTTTTCAAGTCCAGATCTATTTTATATTCTTTATCTGATACATATGAGAACATTTCCTGAACCCTGGGGAGAGATGAGAACTAGCATTTCAACAACAAACAGAGTCTGGGGCCAGCAGGTGGTGTGGAGATTAAGGTCTGATCCCACAGGGCTGGGTGCGTGGCTTGAGTCCTGGACCCGGTGGCTTGAAAACATGTCAGGCACGTGTGCATGCGTGCCCAAAATCCTGAGAGGAGAATAGAGAAGGGATTGCTGTGTGTCCCACTCCCCGGGGGTGGGGGGTGGGGCGATTTCTCACTGTCTCTCTGAGCTGTCTCTCTGGTGTGCACATATGCCCCATAGCAAAAATAGAAAGAAAGAAGTCTACTTAAGACATCCAAGAGAAGTGATTTTATTGTAAAATCGTTAACATTTCCCTACTTTTTTGCCTTTCCTATTTGACTTTTCAGAAAGGGTGGCACGGCCAAGAATTTCCTTAAGAATGGTTTTGTAATTTTATCAGCTTCTTCTCTCTCAGACTTTTCCATAAGAATATTCACTTTAATCAGACTTCTGCGTGGCTGGAAAAGTGGGTATGCAGTAACCCTCTCCAACTCTTTCATCTCTTCCTTTACTTTCTCATGCTTCTGACGGGTAGGAGGCTGGCTGTAGCTTTTTCTCAAGATCCTTTCCTGGAGCCTTTGCTCTATAAGTTCTCTCCCTCTAATCATGCGCTCCTGGTGACCTCTGATTTGAATCTGCTCCCTCTTATTTACCTGCTTTCTCTGTGCGTTTTGGATGCCATGATCTTCTGGTATAATTTTTGGTAACGTTATTTCACTTGGGGGTCGGAATATTTTTTTAAATGTTTTGTTATTAAGTTCTCTGGCCTGGCCTGCCCGGTATATGTGCCTTTCGATATGTTTCATCTCTCTTGTGGGTACCAAATAGTGCCGTTTTGGTACCTCTATGCTTTTCATTGTTTTCTCCTCCGTCTTCTTCTTGACTTCAAGGCCTGTCCCTTCTTCTTTCATGATTTCCTCTATCCTTCTATTATAATACGACTCTGCTTTGGCAAACCAGTAGTCAAGAGAAAGAGCCTGTTCCTTGCAGAGTGTTTCACACTCCTCCTGATATTTTTGAATTATCAACTGTCTTGCTGCTGTTGTATGTGCACCACCTAGATTCTGTCAAAGTGAGGTTTAGAATTTTATAATGTGATCATTTCTCCTGTGAACACCTTTAAACAGGAGGCTATTCTCTTCACTGACATCATGAAAAAACGTGTTGTTTAATTTAAATTTAATTTAATAACTGTGATTTTACTTCCATTACTCCCAGAAGGGCCTGTGAGTTCAGAAAATATCAAGTATCCACCACCACAAATCAAATAACTAGTTTTAAATGTATATAGTGTAGGGAGTTTTCAAAGTGCTACTTTGTTTTGCAAGTGTAGGATATAGCTGGAAAACATTTGCCAGTGTAGATATAGTACCTGAAAGTGTCACTTGAGCAGGAGGATTTTATTTTATTTTTTAGAGGTTTTTGCTATAGGGTGCATGCACTCGCCAGACAGACAGACAGAGATAGAGAGACAGAAAGCGAGAAATCACCCCCCAGGGGGGATGGCCACACCGCAGTCCCTTCTCCTCCATTCTCCTCTCAGGATCTTGGGCACGCAAGCACACGCACCCAGAGTGAGTTTAAGCCCCCGGGTCTGGGACTTGAACCATGGTCGACTACGTGGGAGTCCAGCGACATAGCCATTATGCCAACTGCTGGTCCCGGGCAGGAGGATTTTAAACCTAAAATCCCTTCCCCAAGTATTTCCAAACTGTATGATGTGAAGTTAATGTATTTACCAAGATCTTTTTCTCCAGTGGGGACTGCTGACCTGCAGCAATCCTAGGATCTTCAGATACTTTAGCCCAGGCTAATCTGAAAGGTAAAAAACAAAGGTAATTTAAAATGTGGTAGGTGTCAGAACACATTTGCTCACATATTGTCTGAGCTAAGGAACCCAATTGTTCTGGCCAAGACCCATGGGTATTTCCTTCACAAAGAAAATACTTGTTCATAGGCAGGACCATAGCAGGGCCGTTTCCCCCATGGGAAACCACTACATTCCCATGGAGAATAATGAATGCTGTTTTAATAAGATCTTTGTTTTCAAGTGAGCTAAAAGCATACTTATCCTGTGGCTATAGGGTGCATGCACTCGCCAGACAGACAGACAGAGATAGAGAGACAGAAAGCGAGAAATCACCCCCCAGGGGGGATGGCCACACCGCAGTCCCTTCTCCTCCATTCTCCTCTCAGGATCTTGGGCACGCAAGCACACGCACCCAGAGTGAGTTTAAGCCCCCGGGTCTGGGACTTGAACCATGGTCGACTACGTGGGAGTCCAGCGACATAGCCATTATGCCAACTGCTGGTCCCGGGCAGGAGGATTTTAAACCTAAAATCCCTTCCCCAAGTATTTCCAAACTGTATGATGTGAAGTTAATGTATTTACCAAGATCTTTTTCTCCAGTGGGGACTGCTGACCTGCAGCAATCCTAGGATCTTCAGATACTTTAGCCCAGGCTAATCTGAAAGGTAAAAAACAAAGGTAATTTAAAATGTGGTAGGTGTCAGAACACATTTGCTCACATATTGTCTGAGCTAAGGAACCCAATTGTTCTGGCCAAGACCCATGGGTATTTCCTTCACAAAGAAAATACTTGTTCATAGGCAGGACCATAGCAGGGCCGTTTCCCCCATGGGAAACCACTACATTCCCATGGAGAATAATGAATGCTGTTTTAATAAGATCTTTGTTTTCAAGTGAGCTAAAAGCATACTTATCCTGTGGGCTCAGTGTGAGCCATTTTGAGTCTTGTATTGATGGTTGGGAAGGGGAAGCGACAGGCTCCTTGGTGAGGTGTTCCTCATATATATCAGATTGCTCAGTCCTCCAACTTCCTATTTCTTCTGACATAATTCTATGCTTCCGTTTTAGCACTTCTTTCTGCAATTTCTCCAGCCGAGCTTTCTCTGCTTCTATCTTTACAAACAGCATTTCTGCCCTCTAATCTTTTCTTCCAAAATTGTTCTTATTTAATCAACCACTCCCCTGCTTGACCACTTTACACTGCCAGTCATCCTTCACCCTAAATCCATTATGAGACAGCTCCCTGCTGAAACTTTCAGGATGGAAATTTATGGTTACTCTACGGTTATTTATAGGGCAGGCTGATGGCAACACAAGTGAAAACTACCAACTTTATGTGTCGTCCCTGGTCTAATCTGAGTTTACTGTGAGGTCGTGTTTAAGCCACTGAGGATGTCTGGCATTTCATCTCTGTGCCTTTTTCATAGCACTTAAGAGTTAAAAGCGTGGGCTTTGTATAATTGAAAATGGCTAAATCTGAACCTAGTTTCATCATTTCTAGGTGTGTGACTCAGAACAAGTTAACTTCTCTATCAGTTTCATTATCGACAAAATGGAAATACAAGTAAGTCCCTGACTCTCTTATAAAGTCTTTCTGGCCTATTCTATTTCAGAGTGATTCTGCTTTTCTCTAAAATGTACTACTTTTTGGAGGGGAGGGAGAGGTTTTTGCTATAGGGCGCATGAGCTCACCAGACAGAGAGATAGAAGTGTGCTCACCAGACAGAGATAAAAAGCGAGAAATCACCCCCCAGGGGGGATGGCCACACCACAATCCCTTCTCCTCCATTCTCCTCTCAGGATCTTGGGCACGCACACACACGCACCCGGCATGAGTTTTAAGCCACCGAGTCCAGGACACAAACCGCGGTCGACTATGTGGGAGTCCAGTGACATAGCCATTATGCTAACTGCTGGTCCCTAAAATGTACTACTTTTTACTTCCACAACTCATTTGAAAATTTATCATTGATTACATTGTGGTATCTGTACTCACATACCACTTTTAACATTTTGATGCTGAAATTTAGGCTGATAAAGAGTGGGGACTATAGTATATATCTACAAGCATAATGATGTCTTTATATCCAGAGAGGATCTTCCATCAACTATTCAGTCTCCCTGCCTTCTTAGGCACATTCTCATCTGCCTGTGTTTACCTATTTTGAGAGCCTCTTTCTCTCTTACAGTCTCCATAACATTGAACCTATCTTTTTATTAAACTGTTTACCAGTCCTTGAAGTTTATGGTGTGTGTGTTCTATATACCAGCCCTGAGCTTTCACATTTTCTACCTACTAAAGTGCTTTCATTGAGGTCTACTCAGTTGTGCTCCTTGAGGTTAAAGAACAGATTTCAACTTTGCAATCCTAGCATCAGCTTGAGCCTGGCACGGGTGCTCAACACTCAATAAATACAACTGAGTACACTGTAAGCTTTTGTTGGGAA